TTTTGTAAGGTATGGAGTTTCCCTTTGTTACAGAACTTAAGATAACTGATACCTTATTCGACTGATCTAAAAAGATGGTACTATCAGCAAACCAGGATCGGCCAGCAAGGTCATTTTTGTTGTTCGTGGAGCCACAATCAAGGGCTATGTTGTCATGAGGCGTGTAAGGCTTTGGCGAGCCACCAGCGGAGGCGATGGTTAGGCTGTAGAGAAGGGTGAAGTGGAAAAGGGTTAAGACACAAAATTTTTTCTGTAAAGAAAAGTACCTTCTGGTGAAATTCTTCATGGCGCATAGTAGAGAGAAATCACTCAGTGAATTGAATTCAAGGTGGAAAGAGCTTCTTGATAACTATCCAAGAGAGTGATAAGGAAGACAGTCCTGACAAGAGGCGAAGAACTGTCAGGACTTTGAGAAATACAGGAAATTTCTTGCAATCGTCTCTTCCTTCATCTTTCGCTTTAGAAAATACTGATAAATCAGAGATACCAATAGTCAAGGCTGACCAAGTAAAATGCCAAAAAAAAATAAAAGTAAAAAAAAAAATAAATGGCAATGGCTGAAGAAATATCGTTATAAAACACCTATTACTGGCAAAAAATAGCACTTATTACTGGTAATTGCTCTGTATGTCATTATATTCTGTTCATGATTTGTTGACATAAGAAATAACAAGGCCAAGTGCTTTTATGTGCTGGCAGTGAGTGAGTCCATTCTTATGTAGTGGGAGAGGTGGGGGCACTAAAGAATAGCAGAACCAATGACACGGAAAGTCGCAAAGTCAAATGTTAATTGGAGATTTCAGGGACCGAGCAATCCTTAAGCTTGCGGGTTCAACTAGATTCAAGCCAAATCTTATATATATATATATATATATATATATATCAAATTTTATGATAAAAATTATTTATGTAAATGTTTAAGTAAATAATTTTTTTTAATGACACATAAAATAATACTTATATTATTTTATTTATCAAATAAATTTTTTAATAAATCATTTAAATTCACTATTTTGAGTAATTATTTAAATTAAAATCAAAATTTATCTCAGATTAAAATTTTTACATAAAATTTGAATTTAAATATATTAAAACATAATTTTTTTTCTAAATTTAATGAGAATTCTAAATATATATATACTTAATAAAATTTTATTTTTTGTCAAATAATTCTATTTAATAAATTATTTAAATTTACTATTTTTAGATCATTATTTAAATTTAAATCAAAATCTATTAAAAATTATAAATTATTTAATAAATTATTTAAATTTAATATTTTTGGATAAATTAATGAATTATTGGCTAGAAAACATGTATTTTTAAAATAATAAGAGTTTACATTTTTATATGAAAATATGTGACATTTGAATGTTGATAAAAAAGTTAGATAAAAATATTTTTTTATGAAGACAAATACAATGTTTTATTTATGTTCTAAGTCAAATATTTTTATTTATATATTTGGTTAATTTATTTTTTTAGTCCATAATTTTTTTTAATTTTGTTTAGATTGATTATAATTAACTTTTGTATTATATATTTTTTTATTCATTTCTTCAATATTTTTATTGTTTGTTAATTTATTAATATATTTGCTCTTATTATTGTATATATTTAGTTTTAACAAATTAATATGTAAATTTATATTCTCTATTTCTTTTTGTAATACTTTTTATTATTAAATTTTTTTATCTACAATAAATAGTACAAGAAAAATGATGATCACTATCATATCTAACCCATAAAAAATACTATCGATTATGTTAAAAATAATTAAAAATAAAAAAAAATTTTAAAAAAAATTTTTAAGTATAACGTAAAGAATTATAGTTTCCCTTTTATCTAAAAAATAACTTTGTTTTGCTAACATATATCGAAATAATTATTAGCCTAACATATTTGTGTAATAATTACTTGAAGTATATCAAAAATAAGAATTAATAAAAAGTAAATGGTTACGATCAAATTAATAATTGTGATTTATTGTTCAATCAAATAAATAAATATATATACCCCTATCAATATTATCATAAAAACAATTATTAATCTTAACTATTTAAATATTGATTTTTTATTTTTTATCAAACAAGAAAAAGTGGTTTCAAAATTTTTAGTATTTAGAAGATAATTGAAGAAAATAATTTTTTATAAAAAAAATATTTTTATAATTTTTGAAAATTTACAAAAGCTTAGATTTCTTTTAGATGAACAATATCATTTATAATATATTATATATAAATTTTCATTTAATTGTAACTTAGCATTTATAAATATATTATTGTATATTGGATCAATAATTAAAAAATAAATTTAAAATTATGAAAATTTAATAAAAAAAATCCCATGCATTATACGGGCTAAAAAAACTAATTTAGTACTATAAATTTTTAGAGATTTAGTCCAGTTTGATTGTATATTTATTACATCTTTGTCTCATTTTTTTATCTCAAAATTATATTTTTCTTTGAATATCTAAAATTTTTTATATTTTGAAATTATTTTTTATTATTTATTTATTTTTTAACATTAAAAGTTATAGAATTTTAATTTTAATATTAAATAGATTAAAATAAAATTTTTTTTCTTAAACTGCATAAAAGTCAATACTACTCAAAACAATTTGAGACGAAAAAAGTAATAAGTATATTTTTATGTAAATTTTTTAAAGAACTTATGACCATATTGAAATATTATATCTGTATAAAAAATTATTAAATAATCAATTAAAATATAATTATGCAATTCTAATATAAAGTCAAATTAAATCTTATCAATGAAACTTAAATTTAAAATTCCATAATTCTAAGAATTTTTCTTTACCACCAAGTCAAAGCTTTATTGACATGTTTTTATATAATTTCAATTTAAAATATTAATATAAAATAATATTTTATTATTTTAATAATAGATTAATATGTAAATAAATGAGTCAAGCCAATTTTACGTTAGGTTTAGAAAAAAGTCTAATAGGTCCGACCACCACCTCTAATGTTAACTTTTATATCTTACGTTTTTCAAATGTCATAAACTTTGATTCTCAATTTCATTTGTTTCTTGCTGTATGGGAATTTATTATAGTCGAGTTGAATTTAAAACAAGTTGTATCAATTTGATATTTTGGAAAACTAAGCTTGAATCTCTTACCTATTTATATATATATATATATATGAAATAATTTTAGAATAACAATCCATTTATATTAGTATAAGTTTTATATATAATTTTTTATCATTTAATCAAAATTAAATTCATGATTAATTTATATTAAAATAATATTTTAAATTTTAATCATTTTAATTTAAAGATTAAAAAGGGTAAAAAATTTATGTTGATGTAAGTGAATCCCTCTTTGTAATTTTATTATTACATGTAAAAGTATTTTGAGATTAATAATTTTTAAATTTGTTATTAATATAAATATAATATAATATTAATATTAATATTAATGAAATAGGATTTCACGAGTTTAATTAAACTTTTGAGGCCCAACAAAGCTATTCTTGCTTTTGATACTGGAAAAATTGGGTTAGTGATCCACCTTTGAGCTGGGTAGCCTTAACCGGATGTGTTGACAAGCCCAAAGATTTTTCCTTTTTGTCAGAGAGATACCCACTATTTTTTTAATTAATACAACAAAGCCATTCTTTATTAAAAAAAAAAAAAAAAAGAAATCATAATCTTAAGATAAAAAAAATTATTATAAATATTAAATTTTAAAATTTGAATAATTTTTTAAAAATAATTGTATAAATTTATTGAGTTAAGTTTTATATTCAACTAAACATTACTATAATGAAGCATGTACCATAACATTTAGAAGAGTGTAATGACCAGTATGGCCATCAAAATATTCATTTGAGTGGTTGATTCCTAGGGTATAAAGTTGGGTAAAAGTGCAGGGGACATGTTAATTTTAGTATAGGTCGAGTAGGTGAATTAAGGGTGAGAAGTGCTATGCTTGGTTGGTCATATCATATCAGTTAAGCTCGTGCCCAAA